GATGGATTAGATTTAGCTCTTAAATACTCTGAGCACCTGATACAAAGGAACTCCCCAGACTGCTAGAACAGTGACATCAGGAAGAACAATGTCAGCCAGCGTTTCAAATCCCTGCTATGGCGGCTGATCTGTGTGACTGCTTGGTTATGGTTAAATATGGTAAAGATGGCTAAATGGCAGCTATGAATAATAAGCCAAGGACATCGTTCTCATCTTTTGTAGAACAATTAACTTCAATCAGTTTCTGTCATGAAAAGTTACCTTGAAAATGTCAGCCAAAGGGAGCTGGGTAACAGTGTGGACTCATTACTGGTAAAGTAACCCAAAGTCCGAGGTTCCTCACTGTTGGGTCAGAAGGTTCTTCTCTAGGTACTAAAGAGACAAGTAGTGTATATGGCCATGACACCTTCAGGCGGAAGCTTTTAAACAGTTTTGCACTGCTGTTTGCTCATCACAACCCAAGCTAACTCATTAATTTCATTATTTCCACAGAAACAGAGTTTTCTAGAGTAAAGCTGATGTCTTTATGTCGTTACCAGCTCCCCTGCAGGCTGGTCACTCTAGTGCAGCCTGGCTCCACGGGTGTCTCCATAACTCCTCCCCCTTCCTAGGGTAGTGACACCTCCCCCTGCATCCCGAGCTCTGCCCCAAGCTCCCTCCTGCCCCGGACGCTGGAGTCCAAAACCGCAGACGGCAGCAAAGTCTGCAAAGAACGTCCCCGGCACCTGTGCTTTCCCAGGGACCCTGGGAACAAACCAGGGTTAACTCGGTTGGATATAAAAAAGGAAGAAGGAAAGGGGGGCGGGGAAGTGTGAGGTTTCAACTTAAATCTCTGAATTCTTTTGTTCATTATTAATAGTAGTAGTAACAGTAATATTAATTTACCATTTACGGAGTGTTAAACTTTGCACCGGCCCTTGGGGAGAGCACTTAAATGCAGTGCCCTACTTAATTCCCGTAATAGCCTCCTGTCCCTCTCTGATCACCACACCAGAGCCCTGGGAGACTCAGTTTCCTCACCCTCTTCCCCGTCGTGTAGGGGCTTCCACAGGTCAGGTCAGAAACCAGAGGAGGCTGGTGACAGACATCGTGCGTCCAAACAACGAGAGGGAGAGAAACCTCGTGAAGGGCGTTTAATGTCAGAGAGAAACCAACACGTGGGGCAGAGATGAAGAGCAGCGACAGGCCTGGCCGGCCACCTGGGAAGCCCCGCGACGGGAGCGACAGCAGCAGCCCCTTCCTCGCCCCGCGCAGCCCCGGCTCGCATGCTCCGTTCCTGCCGTTCCCAATGGGCCTGCTCAGACGGCCCCGTGCTCTGCACGCAGGAGCGAGCGGGCTGTGGAGAGGAAGATTCTCGCTGGAAAGACGGGCCCAGGAGTCTGGGCAGGTGCAGATCCCTGGGTGCCTGCGGGTCGGAGACCCCAGACCTCTCCTCCCGTGGGGGAGGAGGCCGTCCCCGTGACCGGATTCCGCCCGCGAACAAAAGGGCAGGAGAGCACTGGGCTCCCGCTGCACCTGTCTATGTTCTGGGCAAGACCCTGGGGACGTCAGGGTTGAACCCGAGTTCCCGCCACCTTCCTTGCACAGGGCCTGCTGGCCTGGTGGCCGGGTCGCATGCAGTCATCCGGTCGACAGAGACTCCAGACTTCCAGACACAGTCGTTTCCTCCAGCTTGCCACGGCCTCTCTCCCGAGGCCACGGTGGACGGACAGTACCTGTTCCCAAGCCCCTGCGTCCCGGGAGTCCTCAGCAGGGGGAGGAAAAGCCCTGGCGCCCACCCTGTGGGAGCAGGAGCCAGCGAAGGCCAGTCCGCAAAGATCTCCAGCATCTCTTAAATAAGATTTTCCTTTCATTTTCACCTTTTAATTATTTAGCGTCCATCGTTCATTTGCACAAATATATAATAGATTTGTATAGACTTCTATAATATAGGCTCTCGTGAGGCGGAGTGGGGGGGGCCGGGCGGCCGCGGCTACTTGCAGACGTGCTGGTCCACGACCTGGGCGCACTTCCTGCACCGCACGAAGCAGCACCAGTGGAAGCGGCAGTGGCAGCGCTCCACCTGCACGCTCTGGAACCGGTCGTAGCCGCGGCCGCAGCACAGGAGCTCGCAGCCGTCCATGCCCTCCGAAGTCTTGTTGCAGAGGCGGCCCTGCGTGCCCAGGGAGCCCGTGGTCTCGTTGCGCAGGCAGTAGTCGGGGCTGGGGTCCACGTAGACCAGGTCCTCCGGCGTGGGCTGGTTGAAGCGGCTGTTGACCAGCTCCAGCTTGCCCCTGCGGGAGATGCGCATGGCGGCCGCGCTGTCGTACTTCTCCTTCAGCTGGTCCCCCACCTTGCGGAACTCGGCCAGCTGCAGCCAGCAGGTCTTGAGGCTGCAGGAGCCTGAGACACCGTGGCATTTGCAGGCCACGTCGGCCATCTTATACACAGCCTGCGGGGGGAGAAAGGAGGGGTAAGAAGGAGGGTCCCTGATGGGGGAGGTCCAGAGGGGGTCGCAGTGCGGAGGGGGCAGAGAGCTTGTCACGTGTGCACAGATCTCTCCGGGGCCCTCGGCTGCTCACACTGAAAGCAGGTAAAAGGAGCAACGCAGAGGAGAAGGCTGGAGAGGCCGACATGCACCCTTGTAACCAGCTGTGAAGGCGGCATGTGAATCACTTTCGCTTTCTACGTTATTCATTTCCCATTCCTCAACCTCTGGTGCAATAAATGTGGCATTTTCACAGTCAGGAAAGAAAGATATTTCCGTCTCGATCAAAGTTTCAAACAAATAAATAAAAACTAACAAAATGTGTCCAGCTTTTGCACAATAGGGAGCACAACTCAGAAAAAAGAATCCACTTGTATCACAAGGCTATCACAGAAACCGCTGGCGTGACCTTGCTTAGCTCAAAGCTCTCCCTGGGCCTGTCAAATCCCGTAAGGCTGAGGTCCCCAACCCCTGGGCTGAGGGCTGGCACCGGTCTGTGGCCCTGTGGCCTGTTCGGAACCTGGCCACACAGCAGGAGGTGAGTGGCCGCAAACTAACAAAGCTTCATCTGTATTTACAGCCCTTCCCCATCACTCCATCACCGCGTAAGCTCCGCCTCCTGTCAGATCAGCAGTCGCATTAGATTCTCACAGGAGCGCGAACCCTACTGTAAACTGCGCATGCGCGGGATCTAGGTTGCGCCTCCTTATGAGAATCTGATGCCTGGTGGTCGGAGATCTGAGCTAGGGTGGTGATGCTAGCGCTGGGGAGCGGCTGCAGATACAGATTATCAGTAGCAGAGACGTGTGACTGCACAATAAATGTGATGCGCTTGAATCATCCAGAAACCACCACCCCTACCCCGCACCAGTCCATGGAAAAATTGTCTTCCATGAAACTGGTCCCTGGTGCCCAAAAGGTGGGGGACCTCCGCCCTAAAAAGTAAATGGTCCCTTTTCCCATGTTACCATTCACTCACTAACTAGAGTCATCAAGAGCCTCACCATAGCCGTCACATGTGTAAGCAAGACCACTTTCTTTCGCCTCAGTGGCCCCGGCACACTGCCCTGGGAGAGGCTGGTGTGGAGGAAGAAGGGGAGGCCGCGTGCAGTGGACGGCAAGGTGGCGGGCCTACCTGCAGGGCAAGTCACCTGGAAACAGGTCTAGCCCGGAAGTCGCAGAACCGTAACAAAGTGCGGTGGATCTGAACTTGGGCTATCCCAAATCAAAGCGGAAAAGCAAGAGTAGACCAGGAAGCTGCTCACAGAGTGCTTTTCAGTGACAGCATCCTGCTGCACCGTGGCAAAGAGCCCTGGCAGCGGGCCCAGAAGTGCAGATGGCGGGATAAAGACGCAAGCCTGCTGCACGACATTTTCTTATGCCATGACGATTGTCACCAACTGAGTCAGGACTCAGTTTTCAAGGGTTTCTCTTAGATTTCTTTTCAAGAGTCCCCAGACTGTGTTTTTATTCAGTACCGAGCAGAGACCACTGCAGGTGCAAGAAACAGTGTAACCGTCATCAGCTCATACGACTACTGTCAATGCTTCCCGAGTTTCTTTCTGGTGTAGAATTATTCCTACTGTTTTATGATAGAGAAATTGAAGCTCCAGAGAGGCTCACTGATCTTCAAGGCCACCCAGAAGGGAGTCAGAATGATTATCACTTCTGCACATCTTGGAGCTTAAAAGTGGTTGAGGACAGAGAAGGAAGAAGGCTCCTCCCCAAGGTTAAAGGCACCAGCACTTGGCCTGGTCACTCCAGGCCTGAGGCATAAAGGAACTGACACCCTATTCCAAGGGGCACTTCAAAGACAGGACCTGCAATTACCCTTCTGGCCCAAATCCCCAGGTCTGAGCTGGCCTGACATTCCTCTGGAAATGGTCCTTAGTGTAGAGAGGGAAGCATTAAAACTGTGTGCCTTGCTGCTTACAGGATAAGCATCTCCTGGGAGCAAACAGGGAGATTTGGGGAGGAGGAGTCAGAGCGAGGCTCCACAGGGCAAAGATAAGAATTTTAGGAAAACAAACAAATCCAAGAGGAGGAGTGTCACTGTGCTCACAGTTCAGACGCCCCGTCCCCTGCTTCCTCTAATTCAAAGACATTGTAGAAAGCGCAATATCTCTATTTTCTCATATATTACTGTTGATTATATAAATAAGCTCCTTTTGTAGGGGAGGGGGAAAGCCCAATTTTTGGCCCATCCTGCTAACTCAAAAAGCAATCAAATGCTTTAAAAATTGTTTTAGCTCTCCATCTTGCCCCCTGGCAAAGGCCTCTCTTAGGTTCCTCTTCCACTTCTGTCTAGTGGCGTGCCGGCCGTGGTGACTGACAGGAATGTCACTGGGATTAGGCATCAGGCTTTTATCTGGAAAATGCTCAGAAACTCTTGAGTGACAACACAATATCAACCCACTGGTTTTGCCATCAGTGTCTAAAACGGAGCTATTAGAGACTCTTAAAGGCCAAGATAAACTTCAAGCAAAGTATTCCCAAGACTTACTCTGTGGCCAGGATGTCAGATCCTAGATCATCCATTTTTTTTTTTTTTTTTTAAATAATCTGGTGCTTTGAAACACTAGCCCGGGGCATTTCCAGCCCTGCTGCCATTCAGTGATGCCTGAAGCGCTTCTGTGTAGGTGCGAGCAGGCAGCAGCCCGGTGCCTTTGGCCTCAGATGGTGACTGATGGCCCAGGCCAGTTCCTTGGAGAGGGGATGAAAAATAGAGGGACAGGAATTGTCAACCTGGAGCAGACAGAGGCAAAGGGAGAGAGATAAAGGCTGCGGGAGAGAAGAGGCACGGGGTCTGTGGGGGCGGCAGACCCAGGAAGAGGGAAGGGGTGCAGCAGGAACTAGGCAGGGGGAGGGGCCTCTAGATAAGGCCCAGCACAAACAAACAAACCATCAGGGCCCATAAAGCCAGGAGCCAGCAGGAGGGGTCAAGACTGCCAGGGAAGAGGAAGAGCTAACGTGTCTGCTTCTCTCCCTCCAGGGTGAGGCCAGGAGGCCCACCTTGTCACAGGAAGAGCAGAGCCAGCAAGCACCTCCGTGCATTTGACCTCTGCTGGGAGCAACACGGGCCTTCTCTCCAGGAAGCAGCGAGGGTTAGCACCAAGAGGTAGAGAGCGCCATCCCTGTCCTCAGGAGCCCACAGCCAACAAGGTACCAGCAGGGTAGGAAAGAGCTCCAGGAAAGCACCAAATGTTCTAATCGAGTTCAGGTGCAAGAGGCACTACTGGCCATAGGGAATGGGGAAGATTCTAAGGAGGAGGTGGTATTTGAACTAGGATCTTGAAAAATGAATAGAATGTGGGCATTCAAGACAAAGTGAAGATTTTCACTGATCTCTCTCTACTCCACAGAGTTAGACGCCCAAAGGGTCAGGCAAATGGACTGCCCAAAGACAGGAAAGCTCGCAGGACTGGGGCGGCTCCACAGATGCCCCCAGAGGAGATGTCCTCTGAGATGGCTCTGGTCTCTCTGCCCTGGTTTATTCCATAATAGCAGCAGGTTAGAGCCATGGTCAGAACTCCTGACATCACCCCCTACACACGCCCCTCTCTGACTGAACAGCACGAGCCCTGGTAGAGGATGCGTAAGGAAGACACTGGGCAAAGAACCAATTCTAATGTCTACTTGATGTCCCAGGACTGATGAGGCTAAATTCACACGGGTGTGCCGTGCTCTATCAGGCCAATATTCCAAGATCCCGATTCAGAAGAAAGACACTTCCAAAGATGTTTCTTTGATATGTGCTCCTATAAAACATGAGTTAATGTTTTAAAACTTAGATATATAAAAAGACCTTTTCAGAAATATGTCCATATCCTGTTACGGAATCACTAGCGAATCCATGTTAAACTTTTAGAAATTGCCATTCTCATTTTTTAATTAATTCACTTTTGGCCTCATGAAAGGCCTTACCCAGGGCCAGCTGGCCTGACACTGACCTGAGCAGGGACAACACTCCAGGAAGGAAGTCTCTGTTGTTTCCTGAGAGGTCCTTTGCCAGCAGAAAGTTCCTCCCACCGCCCAGACCTCAGAACTTTCTAAGGCGAAACCTGGGTGCACACCGCACTGCCCTGGCACCCCTGTCGACCCTGGCTATGCTGAACCAGCAAACGGCAGAGCCCCCTGTGGGACAGGCCCTCCACTTTCCCCGCAGCGGAGGCAGACCACAGGAAAGAGGAGGCCAGACGTGCTCAGAGGGGAGGGGTCTTCAGGACAAGGCCAGGCGGAGAAGGGACACCTCTGCAGCCTGCCTTCCAGGGAAGCCTGAAGCTGTTGCCCAGGTGAGCTCTGTGCATACAATGAGCCAAGCTCACCTCGAAACGTGTATTTTAGTTTCAACTGGCATTAAGGCTTAGAAGATGGTCACATTTTACGTGAGATTGGTGACACTCTTCACTTGAGCCTTAAAACGATGGTTGCCTTTTCACATTTCCACTCACGTTTGAAAACTCCTAGCCTGGAAATGTGCGCGCCATTAAGGCCCGACTATGTTTTTGGCTGGGCTTCTGGATATGTACGACAGCAGCTCTTAAAAGTCAGTTCTGGTCTTACCCGAGTCTTTAACAAATCATAAACCCTAGGCTGAAACTTCCAATCGTCTTATCTGTTCCAGTTGCAAAGGAGGGGCAGTCAAGACAAGAACTCTACTCCACATGTCTGGAATTCTGACCCAAACAATGCATCTAAATCCTATAGGGACAGATGTCCTGTGAAGTAATAAATAAGGTTTAAGAAGTGACAATCAGGCCTGGCGCGGTGGCTCATGCCCGTAATCCTAGCATTCCGGGAGGCTGCGGTGGGAGGACTGCTTGAGCTCAGGAGTTCAAGATCATCTCTAACTAAAAACAGAAAAATTATCCAGGCATGATGGTGCCCGCCTGTCGTCCCAGCTACTCGGGAGGCTGAGGCAGGAGAATCACTTGAGGCCAGGAGTCAGAGGTTGCAGTGAGCTATGGTGACACCACTGCCGACAGAATGAGATTCTGTCTCAAAAAAAAAAAGACAATCACACGTGCCCATTGGGAAATGGGGCATTTTCAAAGGGCTTGTTCAATGATGTGAGCATCTAGGTCAGCAACCGTAGGTAAGGATCTTCAGGGTCCCATGAACTGGCTTCCTCGACCCGTGGATCTACAGTGTGCAGGGAGGGAGGATGGGAGAGGAGGGGAGGGGAGGAGAAGGCAGGGGAGGGAGGAGAGGAGGAGAAGAGAGGGGAGGAAAGGGGAGAAAAAGGAGGGGAGGG